TGAGTATTACCAATGACTTGGTTGGTGCCCATGTCGCCTGTGTTAAAAATTCTTCGATACCACGATCCTCGTCAGCTGCCTATAAAATTAAAATTATTAATACTATAATTATTTAAATTTATAAATCGTAATTACTCGTGACACTGAATAGTCATCTTCTTCAATAGATAGCATTGGGGATATACTCGAGTATTGAGACGGCGACAATGGTGAAATGAGCGTCACTTCGGATTCAGTGAATAACTATAAAATAATATTTATACATTGAATATTTTTGAAAGTAATATAATTTATAGATTTACCTCTGGCGACATTTCCCGGCTCCATCGTTTCGCCCAATGTTCGGCTAATTGAGATGAAGCATACATTTTGAGTTGACTGATGAGATTGACATCATTTTTTGCAATTTTTGAAATTACATTACCGTCGCGTACATTTTTGATAATTGTGACCATTTCTTCGTTATTTTTCGGTGGTGAATCAATCTTGGTGAATTCAACATCGATATAGTTTAAAAATATATCGAATTGTTTTAGGACAGCTGGTTGTGTTATATTTGATTTTCGTGTAATCGTTTCAAATATGCACCATTCCAAATACTGAAGTTGTATAAGGTCCTTCCGATTTAACAGTACTCTGCACCCTTCATGAGTTTTTGACTCAATCACTAGCACATTTTCTCTGCTATACACCATACTGGATATTTTATAATGTTCGGTTTCCAAAAATAACGTACGCTTATATTTTAGCGCCTGCTCCAATACGAATGACAGCATATTACCCATTAGTGAAAATATACGTTTTAGAAAATCCGGTGTTATTTTGACATGCCTCGATGGAGATAAAAAATGGACAACGACCTGGAATTCTTCGCTCGGGTCAATACCGATATGTACAAACTTACGGGCTGCGAAGTCGTGTGTGTAAGATGTAGATTCGATAAGTTCGGCCGGTGGTGATGAAGGCACATAAGTAAATGCATTCTTTTTATATAACGCAGCGTTGTTGGTGATAGAACCAGCCATGATTAAAATTATTTTTTGAAAATAGAAACACACACTTTAAAATCACTGAAATATAAACGTCTTGTCGCTAGAATGGATGTTCAGCTACTAACGAATTTGATCCACAGTATGAAGTGAATACCATTGCTAGCGCTAGTGTCATTGGCTATTAAGAGTTCGCGACATCCTGGCGACCGGTAGGGCACATTAAGAAGACATTTATGTGTGATTATTACTGCCATTTGGCAGGAAATGTCTTTCGATCACTAATGTCCAGGTGGTGTGTGAATATTTTATTGTCAATACGTCTATCAATATAAATGGTTTTGCTGTATGTAGTATTTTTAATTGAATAAGGATACCATAGAGTTCTAAGTATGCAGGTGCAACCTTTTTTTTTTAATTACAACCACCTTTACTCCGAAATCGGTACTCCCTCGACGTGACTAACTTGCTAGACACTCAAATACGGCTCATAAGTTGTACTCTTTGGTTTAGACTTTAGTAAAAGCACAAGACTGGAAAGTTCAATAACATATTTCGAGTCTTTCAAACGTTCCCGCCTTCGAAACGGCACCACGAAAACGCATTATCAAATACTTATCACCTTCTCTGACATTTTCTCGGAACCCTACAAAGGCGACTTTTATAGTTTCGACTACTCAGTCTCCGCAACCGGTAGCCACTTTCAGCTGACACGGGGGGTTTGTTTTTGCATTTCCCGTTTTTTCACTAACATCTAGCATGCGACGATTCATGCATCCAATCTGCCATACAAACATGCCATATAACTCATATATTTGCATAGAGCGATGATTGATGATGATTGATTCGATTACAATTATTCGCAATTTCTAATTTCTTAAACAGTCAACAAAACAGAACCGGGCATACAGCGGGGCACGGTATTACACCAGACGAGCATCTACACTCCTATTCACAGTTTTCGGTAAGTTTTAATTTTTTTTTGAACTTCATGTGAAACGATTTTCACTCGAGCACCTCGAAGGCGCCGGAGGGGGCTTCCACAACGCCCGGAATCGAGGTACACGGGCAACTAACACGAGGGGCCTGGAGGTACTTAAGATGCACCATCGCCCACACAGTCTTTCCGCCGCAGGCGGGATGCACTTTTCGCTGAAGGTGGATTGTCCGTTCGGGAATCGACTTTCACCCGAGATGACTGATAGCTAGACACTCAAACTCGGAATCCGAATTTACGACTTACGACTAGACACTCTTCCAATTTCAAAAATTACAGCTTAACCAGTGCTGCCAACACGACAAAACACAATTCCCGACGACCCCGCGTTCCCGCCTCAGGCCGGATCAAAAAACTCAGCATCGCCGTCGCGGTCTTTTGATTAAGTACTAAAGATGCACCACCGCCCACACAGTCTTTCCGCCGCAGGCGGGATGACAAACGCCGGAATCTAGTTTGTTTATAAACACTACCATCGCCGTCAGCAATTAACTTGTGGTATCTAATCCCATGCACAGGGTTGGGCAAGATACTTAAAATAAAGTATCATGATACATGATACATGATACATACAATTAGTGTATCAATATACAAGATACAAGATACATTGTGAATGTAGAAAAGATACAAGATACAAGATACATGTATCAAAGATACATGATACTTTTATATTTCCAATCGAATTTTATTAATTATTAAACGTAAAACGTCTATACATAATAAATACGTCATAATATTATTATTATACCTACATACTAATAGTATTTATGAATACTTATAAAGTCATAATAATTATCAAATAATAGAATAAGGCAATAGATACAGTACACATTACACATTTATAACTAATACATCACATATATAATATAAATACACTTAAATTAAAAAAAGTACATAACAATTACATCTTAATTTATACTTATAATATATAGTTGCTTTATGTGTATAATAAAATTGTTATGGACTTATGGTTAAAAAAAAATAAATTAATAAAATTTGTTATGGTCTTATATTAAAGTTTAAATTAAATGTTATTTTTATAAATAAAATCTTGATTACCTTTAAGGAAAATTAATTTTTCAAACATTTTGTCAGATAGATTAGATCTACTAGGTGAGTGCACAAAACTTGCGAATGAAAATAAACGCTCAACGGGAGCAGATGAACAGAGACTTGTGTTATATTTTATAAATAGTTTTTTTATGGATGGATAATTATTTAAACAGTTTAATGATTTGTTATTGTCGTTAAAATATGTAATTAATTCAAGTTCATTTTGTGATTGCTGTTTATTTTCAACCTGAGAAGAAAATATAAAAAAACCGTCTTCGGAATCTCTACTAGATTCATGGTTACTACAATCATTAATAATTTGTTCTGTAGCATTTATACACAAATTTTGTATTATTTTTTTTTGGTGATCACTAATGTAATCTGGAATCCACCTTAGTTTAAAATTTGGATGGAAACATGTTGCTAGAATAGCTTCTTCAATTTCAGGAGATAGTTCAAAAAATAAATTAAATCTTTTTGTAAGAGAGCTTATCAAAGGTGTAATTAAAAAAGCGCAATATTTAAAATTTTTTTCTTTTAAATGTTCTAATCGGGATTTTAAAGAAAACAATGATGGTGCTAAGATTCCGTAGAAACAATTATTTTGAGCTTGCAAACAATCTAGGGCGCAAGCTATTGGTTTTAGTAAAATTATTAATTCATCTAAATATACTAACTCTATGTCTTTAAAGCTACAGTTGACATTTAAATGTTGGAAAA